CTTTGGTTTAGTCCAGTTGTGCTGGCTTCCCCTGTAGTGTGTGCTGTCCTTCCCTTCACCTAAGATCATTATTATCTACTATCTAGTTAGTGAATAACCCTCACCCTCCCTCCCCACCCCTGTAACCATCAAAGAATGTTTTCTTCTGTGTTTAAACCTTTTCTTGAGTTCTTGTAATAGTGATCTTATACAGTATTTGTTCTTCTGTGCCTGACTAAATTCACTCAGCATAATAAGTTCCCTTGTTTTCTAAGAGGGAGAGAGTTTCTAGCAGGGCTTTGACCTGTAATTTTTCCAGTTCCTGTTATTGTTCCAGTTCACCAAATTTTAAAAATTTGTGTCTGTTCAGGTATTGCTTTATTGGGCACGAATGAACTGGGCAGATCCGTTTTGAAGTCCTTACAACCAAAAACCCTATGGAATTTGATTCCTTGGTGTGGAGGCTTAGAGTCATAGTTTCATGGGACATCCCAGTTAATTGGCCTAATAACTTGTTTAGTGCCTCTGTTCTACCTCTTAGCTCATTGCATAGTGCCTGGGGTCTTAAAAGCTTGCAAGCAGTCATCCAAGGCACAATAATTGCTCTCTATTGGCCTGGAGCAACAGAGGAAGAAGGAGAGTCAGGAATAGGAGGGGGATGTGGAATGCGTGGGTAATTGCCTCCATAAACAACTGCTTTCTTTGCCATGAGACCACAAGAACTGGATGGTGTCCGGCTACTGTTACTGAACATTTTGATGGAAGATTCCATAGAAGAATCCTAATAAAAAGGGGTAAAATGCAAAACAGAATTTCAAATTCTGATGGACTCCAGACTTTCTGGAGCCAAAGGGGCTGGATGAACCCCTGAAACTACTGCCCTGAGATAATCTTTAAACCTTAAACAAAAACTGTCCCCTGAAGTCTTCTTAAAACCAAATAATGGTTTAGCTTAACTAGTAAAAAATGTCTGCCTTGAGCATTATGCTCTTTTCAGAACTACCTATATGGACCAAACTGACAACAGCAACTCCAAAGAGTAGATAGGAACCTTACGGGGCAGCGAGTTTATGTTAATGGGGGAGGAACAACCCAGAAAAGGAGGGTGAGAATCACTGTACAACCTGAAGAATGTGATCAATGTCACTGAGTTGAACATGTAGAAATGGTCACACTGGTGTGTGTTTCACTGTATGTAGTCTCAACAACAATAAAGTAAAATTTAAAAAAATAGTAAAAGAAGAAATATTGATAAGCATTCAAGAGAAAGTGAGAGGAAGCAAGGCAATCACAATCCAACACAGCTAAGAAAATAGTCTCCCAAGAAAGCAACAGAATACAACAAATACTGAAAACTATCATTCAAGAAAATGTCCTGAAATAAAAGAAGACAAACCTACATATTGAAAGAACAACCAATACACCTGAAAAATCATCAACACCAAGGAATATTCTAATATAACTGTTGTATTTTACCAATTAAGGGGAGGAGCCTTTGGATCCAGATAACAGACAAGTAAGGGGGAAAAAAAAAAACCAGATTGACCTCAGACTTTGTGACAGGAACATTTTATACTAGCAGAGAATGTAACATTTAAGAAACTCAATGGGAAAAAAAAAAAAAAAAACCAAGCCAAGGGTTTTACATCCAGCCAAAATGACCTTCAAAAATAAAAGTCACAAACAGTTATGAACACATAAGAACTCTGGGAATATTGTTCCCATAAGCTCTTTCTAAAGAATATACAAAGAAAAAAATTCAAATCAACTAAGAAATGATTAGAGAAGCTTCTGTATAAGAACTGTTGGTGAGCATTGAATGTATTTAACCCTAGAACTAGCCCTAAATAAAGGGGATCCAGATCATAGAGTATCATATAATTGATACATGTTTTAGAAACATATACAAAATATAATTTTCAAAAATGGAGAAGAAGACAGATCATATGGAAAGTAGAATATACTCACCGAATGCCATGTAGTTGTTAACATGGAATGAAAGTATTTTACTATAAATTAGATGCTGGTAAAGGAAGCTAAAAGATGACTAGCATATTCAATGTCATGCTTAATAGGAAACTATAAGACAGTATCTTAAAAAGAAGGCACACTATATATGAAAATCAACTTAAAATGGATCAATGACCTAAATCTAAAATCATAAAAATCTTAGAAGAAAACATAGGAGTAAATCTTCAGAACGTTGTTTTTGGCAATGGATTAATACATATGACACCAAAAACACGAGTAACAAAAGAAAAAAAAAATAGATAAACTGGACTTTATGAAAATTAATAACTTTTTGTACAGCAAAGGACTTTATCAAGAAAGTGAAGAGACAACCTACAGAATGGGAGAAAATATGTAGAACCATGTATCTGATCAGGGTTAATATCTAGAATATATAAAGAAATCCTAGAGTCAACAACAAAAAGACAACCCAATTTAAAAATGGGCAAAGGATTTGAATAGACATTTCTCCAAAAAAGCTCTACAGATGGCCAATAAGCACATGAAATGATGCTCAACATCATTAGTCATTAAGTAAGTGCAAATAAACACAATGAGATGCTACTTCACCCCTACTAAACCAGTGGCTGTTAAGTAGACTCTGACTCAGCAACCCCGTGTGGATCAGAGTAGAACTGTGCTCCATTAAGTTTTCAATGACTGATTTTTCAGAAGTAGATCACCAGGCATTTCTTCAGCAGTACCTCTGGGTGGACTTGAACCTTTAACCTTCCAGTTAGCAGCTAAGTGTGTTAATCGTTTGTACCACCCAGGGACTTGCTATCTGTCTGTCTACCTACCTACCTATATACATATACACATATTTTATAAATTTATATTTGTATATATATTTATGTATATATATTTATATACAATTATAAAACAGTATGGAAGAATTACTGCCAAATATATTGGTATTTTCAATAAATGCAAATAGGCTTAATTCCCCTTTAAATGAAGAAAAAAATTGCAGATTGGTTAATAAGCAAAATCTAACTCTCTGCTATATATGAGAAATGCTACTAAAATAAATTGAATCCAAGAGGTTAAAAAAATAAAAGAATGGGTGTCATGCTCTCATGCTAACCCACACTTGGCCTTTAGCCATTTGTTAAAATTTTTAGGTAAATCTTCTTACCAGCTTGTATGGTATCCGCCAGTGTCTGCCTTGTGCCAGCAGATGCTCTGGTCCTGTTTCTCCCTGCAGGCGCCTGTCTCTTCCCAGATTTTGGGTTAATTGCTTCCCCTGTGTTTGCCCCATGGGAGAAGTGATGGGTTAAAGAAAAGTCATTAATTTTGTTTGTCCAGCCTTTTTTTGTTATAAAGGGTGGGAGGTATACTCTCTCCAGCTCTCTGTATCTCCAAGGTGAAACCAAAATCAGTATAGCCAATTTTAAAAAGAGAAATGGCCCAACAATTCCACCTGTGATTGAGGAGATAGATGAAATAATATTTAAATCAGCAATATTCACAATTGTGAGACACTGAAACAACCCGTACGTCTATCAGTAGTTGAGTGGAAAATAAGCGATAGAATATTCATACACTAGAGTACTCTGCAGATAGGACAATCAATGAATAACAGTTGTATACAACAACATGAATGAGTCTTAAAATCATAATATTGAGTAACAGAAGCAGAAAGAAAAGAATGTACGCTAGATGATTCTATTGATATCAATTCATTCTGTACCTTTTGTCAAGTTAAAAAGTAGGAAAAACCAAGCTATAATTTTTAGAGCTACAAATTTTAAGTAAAAAGACAATGAAAAAGAAGATGCTCACAACAACAGTGAAGGTATAGGTTACTTTTTCTGGGGTATAGATGCTGGGAAGTGTAACATGGGCATGTCTGGGGTACCATTAGTTGACCCGGATGGGGTGGTTTCATGAGCGTTTACTTTGAAGAATTCATTAAATATGTTTGAGATATTTCACAACAGAAGAGGTCTTATGTGATCATGGAGACAAGACATGCATTAAGACTAACATGAAAAATCACACACCATCTCAAACACACTTTTTTTTTCTTTTAAACATTTTTAATCTTGGTTAATTAAATCTGCAATAATATGCAAATATGCAATGATAAATATATATATATTGGTTTTGTTCTAAATTAGGAATGGATACCACACTCTTTCATTCCGTCAGTGGATTCTTACTCACCTATAAAATAACAAGAACATGCGGCCTAACTTAGGTGACTTACAGATCTGATTTTGTCTTTCACATGGCAAGGAGATTGCATAATCATGAGACTAGGGAGGAGGCTTTGCCCTGTTCTCCTTCCCACCAAACACACCATACGTGCATGCATACACACACAACCAGTGGGAAAATGCCCCGAATCCATATTCTCAGCACTGCGTTTCGGAATAATGTCTTGTAGTAACACTAGAGTTTTAGAAGGCTCAGGTTTTTTACATTGAGTGTGTGAGGTGACACTTTTCCTGTGTCTAAAAGTGAGTAGCCTCAACAGTTGCTACGAATACCAAATAATAAGACTATTTAAGCAGGAATAAATCTGCTGAAAGAATTAACCATGGTACCACACACGTCTATCAGAGAGTGTGGGCTTTTGGGTTTTGTATCCTTCTATATTAACCACATCAGTTCACCCTTCTGTTGCATATACTTAAACTGATGTAGCAGTGATTCAGCAATTTCAAATGAAATCTGTTTAAGTTATTCACCTGTCATATCTTTCCTTTCTTAGGAAGTGTCATTAAGCAGGAGAGTCAAAGGATTGTTAACTACTACATCCCCAGGAAGGACAACAGCTGGGCAAAGGTGACTGTAGAAACCATGCCCTTCTAACATTACACGTTAAGAAAGCGTTAATGATGGGAGGTATTTGATATTCAAGAATGTGGAATGGAAGCCTGGCATTGTGGAAGGCTGGAGCCTTTAGGGTAGTTTTCAAAGGCCCTGGACGAGCTTAATTGCTTGAACTTTCTGACCGTAAATCCCATTATTACTCCATGCCCATCAAGAAAATGGGGACAGAGAGCTGCCTTCTCTCTGTTTCTCAGTTATCTATTCCTTCTACTTTTCTCACCTTCCCCTTCTGTGCCTTTTGTCCTCTAACATAAATTTGACAGGAGGTGGGGGAATGTGATGGAGGGAAGTTCATCTGGGTTGGGGATTGTGAGGGGATTGCAGTGGTAAAGGCATTTGTTGTTGTTATTGTTAAAGGTGTTTGGAATTTTGGAGGAAGCAAAAGAGCAATTTGATTTAGAAGACTATTCCATCAGTCAGGTAACGCTGGAACAAGTCTTCCTGACCTTTGCTCACTCAAAAAAAGATAATTATGAAAAAGAGAGACCATGAGATTCAGTTACAACCAGTGTCTTTCTTGGACTGTTCTCTACTATATCTGGATACACAGAGGGACGTTTCTGTGTGTGTATATCTTGATGTAAATACATTTATGTAATAAAGAGTCCACTAAAGGAGAATGTTTGACTCCTCTGTAGATGTGGGTCAGTGGCCTTTGTATTCAGCATGTGCAATCTAAGGATATTTGGTGAAATTTCTGTTTTCTCTCTAAGAAATAAGGAAGAGCAGCATTTATCAGGATGGGAACAAGAACCTAGTCTTTAGCATTCTGAATGATTCAACAGAAACATCCAGAAATGATGGTGCTGTCAGATGGGACAGCCCAAAAAGCAAGGACTTTATTTTAGCAGCTGAGTTATGGAAAAGAGGAGCATAAGACCTAGAGAAGATCATCCTTCTCGTGGACATACACACACACACAAGATTTTATACTAAAAGGAGTCTAATTAAAATCAAGGTTTGAGTGGTGAGTGAGTTACTGTTTCTAAAACCCAAACCAAGATTTTACATTTGTAAGAGGATCTTTGCACCGAGAATATTTAGAGTCTAGGAACAGAAAGCAAAAAGGAATTTCTTTTCAAAAGTGTGTTTTCCTTTCCTCTTTTGCCTCATCGCTAATTTAGAAGGGACCAAGGAGAAGTTAAGCAGAGTGGGAGGGAGGTAAAGAGCTTTTCTTTTGATTCTTGTCTGGGCAGATGGAGTCCCACATTCAAAACCACCATTGCAATTGAGTAGATTCTGACTTACAGCAACCCTAAAAGGACAGAGTAGAACTGCCTCATATGGTTTCCAAGGCTATAGTCTTTAGGGGAAACAGACCTTTTGGTTAGCAGCCAAGTGCTTAACCACTGCGCCACCAGGCCTCCTTGAGTCCCCTATAAGCAACTTGAAAAAGCTAAGCACATCTCCAGGATTCACGAGCAGATGAGCAGATAAGTACGGATGATCCTGGACGAATTGCAAGATAGAGTCCATGAAGCTGCTGTGTTTTGGGGTAGTTTGTTCAAGGTTTTTGTATCTTCAGTTTCATATTGTCAGTTATAAAGTGGTATCCAGAAGTTATTCATTATTCTATTGTTTTTAGCTGTAGTATAAATTTCCTGTGAGTTCCATACCCAGAATTGCCCCAGATCTCTGGCAAGTGATTTCAATAACTGCAAAAAACTTCCTCCAGGTTGGCCATCTTTAAGAAGGGAGAGGGAACTCACTTTATTAAGCCTTTACTCTACTTCTGAGCCAACATATCTTAAGGCAATCATATTTTTTTTCCCCAGCTCCCCAAGGAGTGCATTTATAAAGGTCTAGATGACAGTGGCGTCCTGTTCATTGTCAAAAAGAACATTTCAAGATCTATCCTGAAGTACAGCACTGTCAGTGATAGGATAATATCCATATGCCTACAAGGAAGACCAGTTAATATGATTATTATTTAGATTTACACACCAACCACTAAGGCCAAAGATGAAGAAATTGAAGATTTTTACCAACTTCTGCAGTCTGAAATTGACCAAACATGTTATCAAGATGCATTGATAATTACTGGCAATTGGAATGCAAAAGTTGGAAACAAAGAAGATTGGTAGCTGGAAAACATGGCCTTTGTGATAGAAACGATGCTAGAGATTGCATGATAGAATTTTGCAAGACCAATGACTTCTTCATTGCAGATGTCTTTTTTCAATAACATAAAGGGCAACTATATACATGGACCTCACCAGATGGAATACACAGGAATCAAATTTACTACATCTGTGGAAAGAGACAATGGAAGAGCTCAGTATCATCAGTCAGAACAAGGCCAGGGGCCGACTGTGGAACAGACCATCAATTGCTCATATGCAAGGTCAAGCTGAAGTTGAAGAAAATTAGAACAAGTCCATAAGAGCCAAAGTACAGCCTTGAGTATATCCCACCTGAATTTAGAGAACATCTCAAGAATAGATTTGACACATTGAACACTAGTGACCAAAGACCAGACAAGTTGTGGAATGACATCAAGGACATCATATATGAAGAAAGCAAGAGGTCATTAAAAAGAGGAAAGAAAGAAAAGACCAAAATGGATGTCAGAAGAGACTCTGAAAGTTTCTTTTGATTGTAGAGTAGCTAAAGCGAAGGGAAGAAATGAAGTTAAAGAGCTGAACAGAAGATTTCAAAGGGTGGCTCGAGAAGACAAAGTAAAGTGTTATAATGATGTGTGCAAAGAACTGGAGATAAAAAACCAAAAGGGAAGAACACATTTGGCATTTCTCAAGCTGAAAGAACTGAAGGAAAAATTCAAGCCTTGAGTTGCAATACTGAAGGATTCTGCAAGGAAAACACTAAACGATGCAGGAAGCATCAAGAGAAGATGGAAGGAATACACAGAATCACTGTACCAAAAAGAACTGGTTGACATTCAGCCGTTTGAGGAGGTAGCATATGATCAAGAACTGATGGTACTGAAGGAAGAGGTCCAAGCTGTGCTGAAAGCATTGGAGAAAAACCAGGCTCCAGGAATTGATGGAATACCAGTTAAGATGTTTTCAACAAATGGATGCAGAACTGGAAATGCTCACTTGTCTATGCAGAGAAATTGGGAAGACAGCTACCTGGCCAACCAACTGGAAGAGATCCATATTTGTACCCATTCCAAAGAAAGGTGATCCAACAGAATGTGGAAATTATTGAACAGTATCATTAATATCACACACAAGTAAAATTCTGCTGAAGATCATTAAAAAATGGTTGTAGTAGTACATTGACAGGAAATTGCCAGAAATTCAAGCTGGATTCAGAAGAGGACGTGGAACAAGGCTATCATTGCTGATGTCAGATGGATCATGTCTGAAAGCAGAGAATACCAGAAAGATGTTTACCTGTGTTTTATCGACTATGCAAAGGCATTCAACTATGTGGATCATAACAAAATATGGATAACATTGCAAAGAATGGGAATTCCAGAACACTTAATTGTGCTCATGAGGAACCTGTACTAAGACCAAGAGGCAGTCGTTCAAACAGAACAAGGGGATACCACATGGTTTAAAGTCAGGAAAGATGTGTGTCAGGGTTGTATCCTTTCACCATACTTACTTAGTCTGTATGCTGAGCAGATAATCCAAGAAGCTGGACTATATGAAGAAGAATGCAGCATCAGAATTGCAGAAGACTCATTAACAACCTGCATTATGCAGATGACACAACCTTGCTTGCTGAAAGTGAAGAGGACTTGAAGCATTTACTGATGAAGATCAAAGTCCACAGCTTTCAGTATGGATAACACCTTAACGTAAAGAAAACAAAAATCCTCACAACTGGACCAATAAGCAACATCATGATAAATGGAGAAAAGATTGAAGTTGCCAAGGATTTCATTTTACTTGGATCCACAATCAATGCCTATGGAATCAGTAGTCAGGAAATCAAACAACGCATTGCATTGGGCGAATCTGCTGCAAAAGACCTCTCTAAAGTGTTAAAAAGCAAAGAATGTCACTTTAAGGACTAAGGTGCGCCTGACCGAAGCCACAGTGTTTTCAGTCGCCTCATATGCATGCAAAAGTTGGACAATGAATAAGGAAGACCGAAGAAGAGTTGATGCCTTTGAATTATGGTGTTGGCGAAGAATATTGAATATACCGTGGACTCGCAGAAGAACAAACTAATCTGTCTTGCAGGAAGTACAGCCAGAGTGCTTACTGGAAGTGATGATGGTGAGACTTTGTTTCACATACTTTGGACATGTTATTAGGAGGGACCAGTCCCTGGAGAAGGACATTATGCTTGGTAGAGTTGAGGGTCAGCGAAAAAGAGCAAGACACTCAATGAGATGGATTGACACAGTGGCTGCAACAATGGGCTCAAGCATAACAACGATTGTGAGGATGGCGCAGGACCGGGCAGTGTTTCATTCTGTTATACGTAAGGTCGCTATGAGTTGGAACCGACTCGACGGCACCTAACAACAACAACAGATGGCTTCATTAATGACCGTCTTTAGAATTCCTTTACTCTGGTAGTCTCTTTCACTGCCGCTCCCTACCGCCCATCCCATCTCTTCATCTCCTAGTAAGACACAAAAAAATACCACCCACCTATGGACAGCTAATCTTCGACAAAGGGCCAAAGTTCATTAGATGGGGAAGAGAAATTCTCTTTAACAAATGGTGTTGCCAAAACTGGATATCCATCTGCAGAAAAAATGAAACAGGATCCATACCTCACACCATACACAAAAACTAACTCAAAATGGATCAAAGATTCTAATGTAAAACCTAAAACTATAAATATCATGAAAGGAAAAATAGGGACAATGCTAGGGGCCCTAATATACAGCTTAAATAGAATACCAAACATAACTAAAAATGCACAAATAGCAGAGGGTGAACTAAATAACTGGGACCTCCTAAAAATTAAACACTTATGCTCATCAAAGACTTTTCCAAAAGAATAATAAGAGAACTTACAGACTGGGAAAAAATTGGTGGCTATGACATATCCAACAGGGTCTAATTTCTAAAATTTATAGAAAACCTCAACTCCTTGACAACAAAAAGACAAATAATCCAATTAAAAAATGGACAAAAGACATGAACAGACACTTCAAATAAGACATTCAGGCAGCTAACAAACACATGAAGTGATGCTCAAGATCATTAGCCATTAGAGAGATGCAAATCAAAACTACAGTGAGATACCATCTCAACCTGACATTACTGGCACTAATAAAAAAAAAAAAACCCAGAAAATAAGAAACGTTGGAGAGATTATGGGGAGATGGGAACTCTTACGCACTGCTTGTGGGAATGTGGTACAGCCACTATGGAAAATGATTTGGTGCCTCCTTAAAAAGCTAGAAATAGAAATACCATATGATCCAGCCATCCCACCCCTAGGAATATATCCTAGAGAAATAAGAGCTGTCACACGAATAGACATATGCACATCTATGTTCATTACAGCATTATTGACAATAGCAAAAAGATGGAACCAACCTAAATGCCCATCAGTGGATGAATGGATAAAAAAATTGTGGTACACACACACAATGCAATACTATGCAACAATAAATAGTAATGATAAATCTGAGAAACATCTCAACACAGATGAATCTGGAGAACATTATGCTGAGTGAAATAAGTCCGTCACAAAAGGACAAATATTGTCTGAGATCACTATTATAAAAAGTTAAAAAAAGGTTTAAACAGAAAGTAACATTCTTTGATGGTTACCAAGAATGGGAGGGAGAGGGAAGGAAAACCACCAACGACTGCGCCTGGTGGATTCAAACTGCTGACCTTTTGATTAGCAGACATGGCTCTTAACCACTACACCACTAGGGTTTCCAACTAGATAGTAGACACATTAACTTTGGTGAAGGGAAAGGCAATACACAATATGGGGAAAGTCAGAACAATGACCAAGACAAAGACACTGAAAGGTACACAAGAATAAAAGGCAACTATACTAATACTATAACATATACAGCCCTGCAACAACAGTAATAACAAACAATAATTTATGAGTGGAATCATAGGCAGATATGTATACTAAGTAAGTATGGGAGGGCATATAGAAGTACACCCACGTGCATATAGACTAAGTTGTGGATATTTCCTCATACATATTTGTATGGGCTGCATGTGGAGTCATATATAAAATGGAGCACAGTCAGGGAAACTTCTTAGATAACAACCAAATACTTCTTAGGACTAAGTTACCGGGCTTGAGGGCCAGGGACCATAGTCTTGGGGGCCATCTAGGTCAATTTGCATAACATAGCTCACAAAGTCAGTGTTCTACATCCTAGTTTGGTGAGTAGTGTCTGGGGTTTTAAAAGTTTGAGAGAGCCATCGAAGATACAGCTATTAATCTCTTCCCATAGGAGCAAAGGAGAATGACAAAAACCAAAGACTCAAGGAAGCAATTAGTCCGAAGGACTAATGGCCACACGAACCACAGCCTCCACTAGCCTGAGTCCGGGAGAACTAGATGGTGACTGGCTACCACTACCAACTGCTCTGACCAGGATCACAATAGAGGGTCCTGGACAGAGCGGGAGAAAAATATAGTACAAAATCCAAATTCATAACAAAGACCAGATTTACTGGTCTGATAGAGACTGGAGGAACCCCGACACTGTTGTTCTTAGCCATCTTTCTAACCTGGATCTGAAGCCACTCCAGGAGATCACCTTTCAGCCAAATAATAAAACCCAAAACCAAACCCATTGCTGTGGAGTCGATTCTTACTCATGGCGACCCTGTAGGACAGAGTAGAACTGTACCACAGTGCTTCCAAGGAGCGGCTGGTAGATTTGAACTGCCAACCTTTTGGTTAGCACCCAGGCTCTTAACCACTGCACCACCAGGGCTCCCCAAATAATTGACAGGCCTATAAAATAAATAACACCCATGAGGAAAGTGCTCCTTAGAACAATCAACTATACAAGAACAAAAGGTCAACATCTGCCCAAAAGCAAAGATGAGAAGGCGGAAGAGGCAGGAAAACCAGACAAATGGAAATGAGGAATTCAGGGTAGAAATGGGGAGCGTGCTGACACATTTTGGAATTGCAACCAATGTCACCGAACACTTGTGTATAAATTATTGAATGGGAAACTAAATTTGCGCTGCAAACTTTCACCTAAAGCAAAAAATCATGTCAGGTCCTCTACTAAGGGCTCCGTCTGAGCTAATTAGGTGCTATATTTTGGAGCTGTGGTGGCACAGTGGGTAAGAGCTCCGCTGCTGACCAAAAGGTTGGCAGTTTGAATCCACGAGCTGCTCTTTGGAAACCCTATGGGGCAGTTCTACTCTGTCCTGCAGGGTCGCTGTGAGTCGGAACGGACTCTACCGCAACGGCTTTGGTTTATTTATTTATTTATTATTATTATCCTTATTGCATATTGGAGGCTCAGAGGGTTAAGGAATTTGCACTAGGTCGCCCAGCAAGTATGCAAGCAGGTTATCAGACGGTGTCCCAGTGAGGAGGCAGAAACCACGCAGTAATTTGAACAGGGGAACTTTAAGGAATTAACTATAACGGGATTGTCTATAAAGAGGTAAAGAGAACTCTAAACAACATCTTTTCGGTCAGGGAAAATACCCATGGAAGAAACAAATTTAGAAGGGGACCCTCCCCAAGGCTGGGAGCAGACCTGGTTGGAGATGTAATTGTGGCCCACTAGACGGTGGAGAAGTTCATTGATCCTGGACCGGAGCAGTTCCACAGTTGCTGAGCAAGCAGGAAATACCTGAGGGTACTGGCGGTCCAGACTGGCAGACAGGGAACCGCAGCTGGGTCTGGCACGCTCCAGGAAACAATTCTCGGGGGTGTTGGCAGGCTGGCGCTGGGAAATTGACCACTGGGGTACCTACCCGCCTGACTAACTGGGAATCCGCACTTGATGGGGGTTGAGTGCCACTGAATGCCCCTACACCGGCTGCTGGCAGCACAAGTTGGGAGTAAGAAGAATCAAAGAGAAAACACTTCTACCAGGAAGAGAAGCTCCTTGTCGTGCAGTGTTCCTCCAGCGCCCTCTCCTGACAAAGCTTAACCTCACGTCAGCTGCGAAGGAGAACTATTTAAAGGGTCCATCCAGCGCCACTTAAACTGAGAGACAATGAATTCAGGACCTGCAATTCTAACCGTTAGGCTCCACTGGAAGTGGGGATCGGGATGGGGCCTGCGGGAGGAGCAACTACTGAGGAATTCGGGAGCATGAGCAAAATTTAGAGGTGGGGCTCAACCGAGTGGCCAGCGCAGGGCAGCGCGCGTCGAAGTGTGTGGTGGTGGGGCGGGGGGTGGGTTTCCTATGCGCTGAAGGGTAATGAGCAGAGAAGGCAAGCACCAAGGGGTGGAGGCAGGGACAGGGATGGAGGCAGGGACGGATTACCCAATAAGTAAGGTACCTACAGGCTTAAATGTGTTTATTTACAAATCTGTAGCGCACAATTTCACCTGTTTTTCACATCTCAGATTAGTAAGTAAATACTATTAAACACATGGTACCTAGCTTACTGTAAACCCGGCCATACCGTGTTCATTACCGTGTTTACTGGTTAATCCGCTCTTGAGTGGAGGATTGGGGTAGAACAGCCGCATGCGCTGGCGAAAGGGACGCGTGGCCGGCGCGCAGTGCGCTGGGTCCGCCTCAGAAAAGGGACCTTTGGGTGGTTTGCAAGCCTCTGTGTCTCCGCCTCTGGAAGTTCTCTGATAACCGCCAACAGACTCTGGAGACGGCCTTAGGCATCCTGCTGCCAGCGGCTGGGTCCGCTGAGGGTGACCCTGAGACCTGAGGGAGAGGGGTGCCCCCGAGAGAAGCGGGATTGTGGGGTCCACTGGGAGGGTGGAGCCGAGAACCAGGGAAGCATGAGAAAGGGCACGACGTGCGGTCCTTTTCAGGAACTGGGAGCGCCGGGCAATGCGCGTGGGATAAGGTGGGTGGAGGCCCCACGCGCGGAGGGGTCACGGGCTGATAATCCCGGGAGCTGGGCCGGTGGGGGGATCAAGTGGCAGCGCCCGGTCTGCTAGGAAGGGGCTGGGTGAGCTGGGGCGCGCGAGGGGAGGGGCTGAAGCGGTGTACGCTGGAGCGGGGGCGGGGCCGTGGCGCGGGGTGGGCATGCGAGCACGTGGGCACGTGGTCGGCGCGCAGGCATGAGAACGACGCGCGGGCACGGGGTCGTTGCGTGCTGCGTGTGGTCCACGCCTTCGGGCAAGGGCGGTATACCTGACCGCGGGTGCCGGCGGCGCGGCTGGGCGGTTGACGACAGCATTGGGAGGAGGCGCTGCCCCCGGCTCGACGCGTGCCCCTCAGCGGAGGTGGTGGTGACGTTGGCGGTTGTGAGTCCTGAGCGGTGAGTGTCCGGAAACTCCCCGCCCTTCCTCCTGCTCCCCAGCTTTCTCTGCTCTGGCCGCTTCTTTCCGGACTCGGCCCGGAGGCCGTCGCGCTGTGCACGCAGAGACTGCAGGTGCTCCCCACCACCACAATAAATAAACACAAATGCCCGAGATAGTTAAGGTGCCGAACGGTCCACTGTCCCCCAGAAACATGCACAGCTAACCAGAACAAATCAGACAAAAAGACGCCAGAAAGTCACGAATTTTATTTTCGCGGTGCAAAGTAGTATTTGAGAGCAGGGGTTTGAGGCAAATGGCCTGGTTGTAGTCCTGACTCTGCCCTTTATCTGCTGTGTGAACTAAGGGAAACTGCCTGATTCCTCTAAGGATAGGAACGATACCCATCTCATAAGATGGTTGTGATATTTAAACGTGATAATATTCGTTGCTGGCACATAGTAAATGTTCAATAAATGGTGGCGCAGGATATGGAAATGCTTCGAGAAGCTCAGTTTGTTTTAGTTCTTTTATTTTATGCAAAGTTGGCAGGAAATTTAGAAGAAACCTGCAGCTTAGATAGAAAGTTGCTTTGAGCATTTTCTATTTATGCACGACTCACGGGTCAGCCAGACACTTGAGTAGAGTTTACGCATAGAATTTGGTGTTTTCTTTCTCTGATTCTCTCCTTTTTTGGATTCCCTCCTTCACTGTGGTCACTGTGGCTCTGTTTAGAAAGAAGGCAGGTTTTCAATCCAAATTATGAGTCCCAATCGACTCGATGGCAATGGATTTTGCTTTTATACCTGTACTGCAACTGCAGCCTGCCCTTAGACTAAAGTCATTAAACAAAACCAAGTATTTCACCCAGTGCTTTCAAGTTTCCACCCTTCTAAAATCTTCCTGGCTTTTGTTCACTCTCCAGAGCCTACAGATAGGTTTTTTGTTTGAGTTCTCCAACTTAAGTTTTCTTTGTCAGAATTACTTTGGCTGTTGTAGTTCATTTTCCTTTTTACATAAATTTTAGAGTCAGTTTGTTGATATCTGCAAAAGCCTTGCTGGGATTTCGATTGGGATCTTGCTGAATCTATATATCAAATTGGGGAGAATTCACATCTTAAAGATACTAAGTTTTCCAATCCGTGAACACTGTATATTCCTTTATTTGATCTTTGATTTCTTTCTTCAGTGTTCTGTAGTTTTCAGCATAGAGATTAAACACATATTTTGTTTGATTTATACCTAAGTATTTTTGGTGCTATTTTAAATGATAATTGATTTTAAAGTTTCAAATTCTGGTTAATAATTGTTAGTATATTTAATACAACTTTTTTATATTGATCACATATCCTGAGACCTTCTTAAACTTATTTCTAGGATTTTTCTTTTTGGTAGATTCTTTGGGATTTCCTACATAGACAATCATGTCATCTGCAAATAAAAGACGGTTTTACCCCATGGTCTCCAATGTATATGCCTTTTATTTCTTTTCCTTGCCTTACTGTAGCCACTAGGACTTCAGTACAATGCTGAGTAAGAGTGGTGAGAGAGGCCATCATTACCTTGTTCCTGATCTTAGGGGGGTGGATTTCAGTCTCTCCCTATCAAGTATGTATGATTTTAGCTGTCAGTTTTTCATATATAGCTTTTTTATTAGGTTAAGAAAGTTACCTTATATTCCTAGTTTTTAATCACAAATGGTTGTTGAATTTTGCCAAATGCCTTTTGTATCTACTGATAAGATCGTTTAGATTTTCTCTTTTATTCTGTTATTCTCCTTCGTTATGTTAATGGTGGATTACATTGATTGAATTTTCAATGTTGAACCAGCCTTGCATTCCTGGCATAAACCCTACTTGGCCTGTCACAAATGTTGGGAAGTTCTCAGCCATCCTTTCTTCAAATATTTCTACTGCCTGGTTTTCTCTTTCTTCACCTTCTGGTATTCAAATTACGTGTATATTAGACCATTTGATATTTTCCCAAAGCCCTTGGATAATTTGTTCTGGTTTCTTCCCCCAGCCCCCACTCTTTTTTTCTCTTTGTGTTTTAGTTTGGGTAATTTCTTTTGACTTATCTTCAAGTTTATGGATTCATTTCTGAGCTATATGGAGTCTACTGATGACCCGTTAAAGGCATCCTTCAACTCTGTTACTGTGTTTTTGATTTCTGGCATTTCCATTTGTTCTTACAGTGTCTGTGTCTCTGCTGAAATTACCTGTCTAATCCTGCATTTTGTCTGCCTTCTGCATTAGAGCTTTAAACATATTAATAATAGTTATTTTAAATTATCTGATAGTTTCAACATCTGTGTCATATCTGAGTCTGGTTCTAACGTCTGCTTTGTCTCTTAAGACTTTTATTTTCCTTTTTCATATGCTTCATAATTTTTGTTGAAAGCTGAACATATTATGGAGCTCTGGTGGCTCAGTGGTTATGAGCTTGGCTGCTAGCCAAAAGGTCGGCAGTTCAAATCCACCAGCAGCTCCATGGAAATTCCATGAGGCAGTTCTTCTCTGTCCCATAGGATCTCAATGAGTTGGAATTGGCTCGATGGCAATGGGTTTGGTCTTTTTTTTACGAGTTTGTCAGGTTTTCAGCATTGCTTATTCCAGGTAAGAAAATGTTCAGGTCCTGTTTTCCCTGTTTTCAGGTTACCTGTTTGCTCTGAGACCTCAGTTCTCTGACAGGTTCAAGAAAAGCTATTAATTTGCAGTTTATCTAGCTTTTTGGGTTTGTTTTAAGAATGGGAACGATGCTGTTTCCAGCTGTCTCTATCTCTGAGCGAAAACCAGAAACCAACATAGGCATTTTTGAAAAGAAAAAGTGAGTATATAATATTTTCAATTCGTATATAATATTACATGGTTTTTATGTAACTTATTTAATTTTTTAAACTTAGCCTGAAAATTTTGGGTCCTAACAGTATTAACAGTATTATTCACTGTATCGCACTATATTTTCTAAGTAATAACGGTATGTTTAATGATAGTAAGACTATTGCATGAATTTTAGCATTTTTTGCATGTCTATTTGTCCTTAAAATATATTCTTCTGTGGATATACAGTCAATTGAAACATTTCTTTTTTCTCTGTGTAGTTTTGTCATCAACTTGATGTAAAATAAAATTCTATAACTTCAGTGTGTTTCCAGTTTCTAGGGATTTGAATAAAGTTTAATCGTACATTTTGAATATGAAAATACTTACTTAATTCTTGAGCCAAAACTCTATAACAAGGTATATTCAGTACATCCATTCCTATCCTTTATACCTTATTCCTGTAGATAATCCAACTTTATTGGGTTTTGGTATATACTTATCATTGCCTCTTTTAACAAATATCAATAAATACATGTATTTGTTCACATTCCTCCCTTTCTTCTTACACATGCTATTAGCACTATTTTGTACCTGGTTTTTTTCCCTTGAAAGTATATCCTGCAGATGACTTCTCATTTCTTTTTTTCTTTTTTTTATTTGTTGTAAAGGTTTATAAAATTTGCAAATTGAAGATTTTTCACATGTACAATTTAGTGACACTAATTACATTAACCATGTTGTACAACCATTACTAACGTCTCTTGCCAAATTTTCCATCACCATAAACAGAAACTCAGTGCTTCCCGAACAGTGCTTTCCCTTTTTCCCTTCCCTCCTGCCCCTGGTAACCACTAATAAACTTTGGAGTCTATGCATTTGCCTGTTTTAGATACTTCATATAAATAAAACCAAAAACAAACCCATTGCCATTGAGTCGATTCTGACTCATAGCAACCCTAAAGGACAGAGTACAACAGCCCCATAGGATTTCCAAGGCTGTAACCTTTATGGAAGCAGATTGCCACATTTTTCTCCTGTGGAGCAGCTCGTGGGTTCGAACCACTGACCTTTCAGTTAGCAGCCGAGCTCTTAACCACTGTGTCACCAGGGCTTCTTTTCATATAAGTGACATCATACAATATTTGCCCTTTTGTGATTGCCTTACTTCACTTAGCATAATGTTTTCAAGGTTCATCCATGTTGTAGCATGTATCAGGACTTCATTTCTCTTTATGGCTGAGTAATATTCCATTGTATGGATATACTGCATTTTGTTTATCCATTCATCTGTTGATGGACATTTAGGTTATTTCCATCTTTTGGCTATTGTAAATAGTGCTGCAGTGAACATTGGTGTACAGGTTTCTCTTTTCATTTGTGCCTTCACTTCTTGTGAGTATATACCTAAGAGTGGAATTTGTGGGTCATATGGAAGTTCAGTGTTTAACTTTGTGGCTGTACCACATTTTGCATTGCCACCAGCAATGGATGAGGGTTCCAGTTTCTCCACGATCTCGTGAACATTTGTTGTTTTCCTTTTTTTTAATCTTAGCCATCATAGTGGGAGTAAAGTGGTATCTCATTTTTGGTTTTGATTTACATCTTCTTAATGGTTAATGGAGAGCCCTGCTGGCACAGTGGTTAAGAGCTTGGCAGCTAACCAAAAGGTCGGCAGTTTGAATTGATCAGCCGCTCCTTGGAAACCCTATGGGGCAGTTCTACTCTGTCCTATAGCGCCACTATGAGTCACAATTGATTCAACAGCAGTGGTTTTGGTTTAATGGCTAGTGGAAGTCCCTGAGTGGTGCAGATTGTTAAGTGCTTGATTATTAGCTGATACGTTGGCGGTTTGAAGCCAACCAGAGGCGTCTCAGAAGACAGGCCTGGAAGTCTGCTTCCAGTAGGCCACAACCTTGGAAACCCTATGGAGCAGTTCTTCTCTGCACACATGGGGTCACTGTGAGTCAGAATCGACCTGATGGCAGCTAACAAGAACAACAATGACTAATGAGATTGAGCATCTTCTCTACTTTTTGGCTGTTTGTCTATTTTCTTTGGTGAAATACCTATTCAGATCTTTTGGCCATTTTTTATTGGGCTATTTTGTCTTATTCTTGTTAAGTTGTAGGAGTTCTTCATATAGTCCTGACATTAAAACCCTTATCCAATATATGGTTCACAAAT